TGTGTCCTTGGCAGTTCCATTCCCTGGCGCCCATGTACTACCGAGGGTCGGCCGCTGCCGTGATCGTGTACGACATCACCAAACAGGTGAGAGCGCCTCCTTTAGGACCAGGGGCCCTTGTGGTGACATCCCTGTCTCGGGGGACCCCAGCAGAGCTGGCACTGTTGAGTCTTGCCAGGAGCCTGGGACGAGGCCTCCTAGTGGGTGGTCAAGGGCAAGGACCCTCCCTGAGCGTATGTCACCCGTACCTGATGAAGCGTCTCAGACTTACCTCTAAATCAGAGCACAGAGAACCTCCCTTTCTAAACACTGGACCGTCCACATGTAGATTTTGTCCCCAGATCTTGTCTGCTGACATTGCCTCCAGAGTGTCAGCATTTTAAGAAAAAGTTCATCTTTCAGCTCTGTTTCATTAAGTCTGCGTACTTATTTTCTGGTATTGTTTTGATCGTGCTCCTTTAAATGCCAAGGGCACAGGCGCACGCAGGTGCGTGTGCTGTGTTTGTGTACAGTTGTCACCCTGTCTCCAGTTTCAGTCACCCAAGGTCAACTGCCATCAGAAAATATGAAGTGGAAAATTCCAGAAAGACATTTCCTAAGTTTCAATGACTTCCATTGCAGGGCACGGTCATAGTCATCCCATGCTGTTGTTAATTTATAAATCAAACGTCATCATGCACATGTAGGTGCAGGAAAATCAGGGTGAACACTGGGGCCTGGGACTGCGTGCTGTCAGGCATCCACTGAGGGTCTTGGGGCGCATCCCCCACAGATGAGGGCAGTGTGTACAGAATTCAGGTGCATGTGTTGTCCCTGAGTTGGGGCTGTAGGGTCTCATGGGCAAGTAGATGCAGTAGTTTGGCGGCATTTTCCCCGATTTCCAGCAACTGGATCATGACTTCTTCCCCTGACGTGCCACTCAGTGTGCATGGTCCTTGCTCTAGTGACACTATGCTGTCCTGAGTTCTGACCCCTCTCCTGTGACCTGAGGGATGGTGGTGAAGGCCCGTGCAGGCAAGCAGGCTCCTCCACCAGAGTCAAGGCCGCGGCTGAGTTTGTCGGTGCTGGGGCGGAACATGAGGCCTCACACCCCAGGCAGGCTCTCCCAGGGAGCCACCTCCCAGCCCTGAGAGCATTAAATCTATGCTATTTATAGAAAAACGACTACAGTGATTTTCTGAACCTCACCAGGTGTTAATTTTGGAGAAAGGAAACTGCCATAAACTATTTAGGGATCACGTAGCTAATGTTGACTATGAGAGTTTCTTAAAAGTGTTGGTCTCCTCTAAATTATGGGGAGATTGTGTTTGTACTTGGCCAAATGTCACATTGGCGGGTCGGCTCAACAACTGCCTTGTGCTCTGGTCTAGGATTCATTCCACACGCTGAAGAAATGGGTGAAAGAACTGAAGGAACATGGCCCAGAACGCATCGTGGTGGCCATCGCAGGGAACAAGTGTGACCTCTCAGACATCAGGTGAGCCGGCTCGAGCCTGTTCGCAGGGCTCGCCCTTTGCCCTCCTCCCCGCCTGGCTGGGGGTTCTGGCCTCCCTGGGTGATGACACAGTTGATAGCTACTCACTTGTGGTGGTCAACTGGTCAAGGAGAATTGATGCAAATCTGATGGCCAGGAGATGAGGAATGTTAAAATCCAACCCATGTGGAGCATGGTGGCACACGCCTGTAATCCTAGTGACTTGGGAGGCTGAGGCAGGAGAATCACAAGTTTGAGGCCAGTCTCTGCAACTTAGTGAGGCCCTAACCAATTCAGTAAGACCCTATTTTCTAAATAAAACATGAAAAGGACTGGGGATGTGGCTCAGTGGTTCAGCACCCCTGGGTTTAATCCCTAGTACAAAAAAAAAATCAAAACCAACAATCCCTATGCAGCACAGTCACATGCCTGACCCTAGGTATCTCTGTAGTGTTTTGTTGACTTTTTTATTGTTACGATTTCCATTACTATTCTCATTCCCACTAACAATTTTAGCAACACATTTGTATGGAAAATGACCATTTGAATTCTTAATACTTTCCGTAGCATCCGTGCCTGTTTTAATTCTGGATTTTAACCTAAGCATATAGTCTGGTCCACAGAACATCGCTGTGGGGTTCGGAGGTCTGACTCTGGTGCATTTCCTAGGAGCACAGCTACACGATGGCCCCCTGTGACGTGGGTCCTGTAGCTTCCTTAGCCTGGTGCTTGCTGTGTTAGAATACCTGAGGCTGGGCACTATAAAGAAAAGAGGCTTCTTGAGCTTTGTCTGGAGGTTCAAGAACGTGACAGTGGTATCCTGGCAAGTGTCCCGTGGCTGTTGCATAACATAAAGGGACCAGCTGTGTGCAGAAGGGTCACTTGGTGACACAGTAGCCACGCAGAGCTGGGGCCAGTTTCTCTCTTCACAGCCCTAACCCTACGGGAGCTGGCTGAGGGTGCAGTGGGCACTACATTCACCCCTCCCTGGGGTGGTGCCCACCGTCAGTCAGCCTCGCCTCTGAAGGGTCCCACAGCTCAGCACCCCCACATGGGGACTGTGCCCCTGGGGCACACTCAGTCACATCCACACCAGAGCACACAGAGAGGGGTGCAGGGACCCAGTTCACACGGCTGGAGTTTGAAGTGGCTCCCTCTAGCCTAGTGAGTGAGCTGTTTAATTATCTGAATGGGATTAAGAAAGGCTGTGCAGTGGTCCCCCTGCTTACATGGGGACACAGTCCACGGTCTTCAGTGGGTGCCTGAAGCTGCAGGTGGTACCCCATTTCTCCTATCTATACATCCTCTGGGAAAGCTTATTTACACAGCACAGCAGAGGACCCCAACCACAGATGGAAACGAAACGCAACAATCATAACCTGTAATAAAAATTATTCAAATGTAAACCATTTTTCCTGGAATTTTCCACTTAATGTTTTTGAACCCACTGAGGGGGGCGGGGGTCTGCTGCATTGGACCATGTGGTCCCCATTCCTGATCTAATTTTAGGATGTCCAGTCGTCGATTTTCACAAGGACAGTTATGTCAGGCTTCTGGTTTTGCTAATCCAAATTTGACCAAACCAGAGTTAAATAAGCAATGAAAATGGATCTTGCAAAGGTCTGTATCACGGCATTTGACAAATTGCTCGGCTGCTTTGGGATTTCAGAAGCCTTATATCATGTTGCATCTTGTTGGTTTATAGTAATAGCCATAAACCCACTTAATTGTCTGTTTTCCTGGGGGTTGGACGATCCTCAAGCTCCCTGGACTGAGTTCAGATGTCTGCCGTCTTTGCTGTGATCCGGAAAGGCTGCCCGGCCCCTACCTGCAGGATCGCTTTCCGCTCGCTCTGGGAGCAGGGCAGGGTAGTGGCCTTGGCTGGAGCAGGGTCCAGTGGAAATAGTTCCCAGAGGAATGGCCTTGGTGAGGGCTCATGTTTAGGTAGAGCTGGCGTCCAGTTGAAATGGGCATTTGCCGGCCAGCAACATCTGCCTGGGGCAGCAGGGCTGCCTTCACCTCTAGTGGCCAGGACACCCAGCCTTGGTCTCCAGAGATCCTGGCTTGGTATTCTCTGGTTCAAGTTCAAAATATCGAAGCAGTTAAGAGGCCCCTGCGGCTCAGGGAGGGCTCTGTCACAGGGTGGCTCCTCAACCAGGGAGACGGGCCTGCCCCGTGCTGGCCTGTGGACACTCACCTCTTAGCCAAGGCCGCCCTGTGAGCACTGGCACTGTGCCTTCCTCTGCAGCATTCTGGTGCCCAGCGGATTCCTGCCTGGGCCGTGGTCAGGATCCCTGGCTGACACAACCCACCGCCTCACTCCCGACTGGAGATGCACTCACAACCCAGGTCCTGTGGGAGAACCCAAGGCCACCCAGTCTTGCCTCTAGGGGTGACGTCAGGGCTGCTGATCCGCAGCCCACAGTCCCAGGTAGTGCCTTTTCTGCCAGGTCTCTCACTGACCTCTTGTCAGGCACAAAACCATTTTAGATGGCATTTGTTTTTGGCTCATGTAGCAAGGAAATCACTCTGTGATTCTCCTTCAACCTCTGATTAGGTCAACGAGAAAGTCTAGTTTGATCCTTGTACCTTTAAACAGTATTACTTGCAAACAATAAGTTAAATTGAAATAGCTTATGAACCACAAAATCCATAAAATTCTAAGTGTGTGGCTCAGTAAGTTCAGTACTCACAGAGGTGATTCTAGAACCTTCCCATCACCCTACAAAGAGTGTCACACCTGTTGGTTGAGTCACAGGCACCAGGACAGCTAAGCACTGAGAGGACATAGAATGGAGGACCCAGCATCCCATAGCCAGGCGCACTGTGGTAGCCAGGAGCAACCAAGGCAGTGTGTGAAGAGGCCCTGGGATAGCACGGAAGTGACCCTGCACAGCTGCGCTCAGCTGGCTGACAGAGGAGGGACGGGGAGGAAGGCAGGAGAGCCTTTCCCACAGGGAGCTCCGGTGGTCCAACTTCACAGGCAAAATGAAAACAAATGCCAACCTATGGGTCATGGATTTTAATGTAAAACCATAAAACTTTCAGAAAAACTCCTAAGAGAAATTAGGATCTAAGGCTAAAGAGTCTTTTTTTAATATTTATTTTTTAGTTGTAAATGGACACAATATCTTTATTTTATTTCTTATGTTGTGCTGAGGATTGAACCCAGGGCCTCGCATGTGCTAGGCAAGCGCTCTACTGCTGAGCCACAACCCCAGCCCAGGCTAAAGAATTCTTAGACTTGACACCAGCAACATGCCCTTGCCAGGTGATAGGACTGTACAGAATTTGACACCCACCAGTGGACACAAGGAAACCTAGGAAGACAGCACGGGACAGGGTCTCAGTGCTGACATCTTTTCTTGATGGTTTTGTGAAATGTGACCCTGTTGGGAAACTGCAAAAGTGCAAGGAATCTCTTGGTATTATTTTTGACAGCTGCTTGTGCATCTATATTGCCTCACTAAAAATTCAATGAATAAAAAGTTTATTTAGATAAAATGGTGAATGTTGGAACAGTGGTTTGTGTGGTATGTCTACATATGCACGTTACATACACACCATTTGTACATACAGCAAAACTCAGAGGGGCTATTGCCGGGTTTCTGTTCTCGAGACTAAAAGGCTCAAGGATCACTCCAGGAAAACTGGGCTAACTGGGCTGCACAAAATAACCACACAAGAGACACAAATACCTTTTTGTTTGGGTCGCTGTGACGGCTCCTCTGACCTTAAGGGTCTGCAGGAAGAGAGAGCGAGAGCACACGTGCTGACCCCTTTTATTGAGGAGAAGCTATTCAAATGAGGCAAGGGGTCAGGTTTCAGGGCGCTGAGTCTATCTTCATGATGTCCACTGTCAGCAAGTTGACTGACATCTGGGTAGGCCACACCCAAGGGCACAGTAAGAGAAGGGGACACACACAAGGCACTTCCATGGAAGATTCTACCCTAAACAGGGCAAGAGGTTATATTACAAAGGAACAGTTGAGCGTAGCTCCACCCATGGGGCTGTAGCAAGACACACCCATGCATGAGACACCGTCCCTCCAACCCAAGAAGGGTGGGGAGAACTCTGCCACATTTCTGTGATTGAGCGCCTCAGCACCCAGCCGGGGAGTATGACCCAGTCACGGGCAAGGTTGGTCTCCCACAGGCTATGTTCCCCTGAAGTTTTGTGAACACATCGAGCCAAGTGATCAACCAAGTCACACACCAGTGTGCAAAGGAAACACAGGAGAAGGCTATGAGACTCCCTCCAGAAGTGGGACATGGCTCAGTGGTTCAGTGCTTGCTGGGCTGGCCCTGGGCTTGATCCTCAGCACTGCAAAACAAACAAACAGAAACCCAAGGCAGCAACCAAAGCCTCCCACCCAGGCAACAGGAGGCCCGCCCTACGGTCTCTGCCCCAAACACATGAGACAGGAATATTCCAGGAAAAGGTGGGACCTGTGAGCCAAAGGGCCTCTGTCCGTCGGGCGTCCCATGCAGGACAGGGGCGATGGCCAGCTGGTCTGTCTGCTGCAGACCTCCCCTGGCCTGGGTTTTCTGGGGAGTCAGCCAAGTCTGCAAACCTCCCAGGCTTTATTCAGAGCTTGACCTTCTTTTCCTCTAATCCCCAAATGCTTTGCTCTCCTGTAATTCCCAGAAAACAGTATTTTCATCAGGGGTTGCAAGGGACTCGTGTGTGTATGTGTGTGTGTGTGTGTGTGTGTGTGTGTGTGTGAGAGAGAGAGAGAGAGAGAGAGAGAGAGAGATCTCTCACCCAGCAGGCTCTAATGGCACAAGTCTGTCAGCTGTGGGAGGAGCTCTGCCGCCGTGTGACAGGTGCTGAGACAGGAGTAGAGCAGCTTCTGAACTGGGCTCCACCGTTGGAGGCATCTGAGTGCACAGTGCCGGGCAGAGGAGGAGCCCGCTCAGGGATCAGTGTGCATCATGTGCTTGCTCCAGAGGACGCAGGTGGAGGGGCCTCTATCCCAACTGCTGGGCCAGTGGTGATTAGATCTCAGAATCTGGAGACTTGTGTGGGCATAAAGTCGTCAGGGAGCAGACTGAGGAGCTGGCACTGCTCCCGCCGGCCTGTCTCGCTCCCTGCCCGCAGCTTGGCCGGGGGTCTCATAGAAAAACAAGCCTCTCAGAAGGGCTGGGAGCCTTGTCCTGGGCCTGGCAGGAAAGTGGGGCAATCGAGTGCTGAGAGAGAAGAAATGGGTGACCTTGCCTCTGGGCTTTAGAAGGTTCATTAACTTCCGAATCCACAGGGCACTTGTTAAAAGTTCCAGGATCCAGCTCCAGAGGCTGTCACTCACACAAGAGGGAGGCAGGGAACTCGGCCATTTTTAGTGATCCTTTGGCAAGTGTCCACAGACTGGACCAGATGCGGAAAGCATTGCCTTAGGTGAGAGGAGTGGGTGGGAGAGAGAAGGAGTCCATCCCGGATCTAGCCTGGCTCTGCCAGGGGCTCTGACTGCAGGCCCCACTGCCTTCCTCTCTTGTGCCCTCCAGACCCCAGGAGAACTGAAGCAGGCCAGCACTGTCCGTGCCCACAGCAGGAGGAGCAGCCCAGCTGCCCCGCCCCTCTTCCTGGGCTCTCACCTTGATGGCCCTCAGGAGAACCAGCCGGGGCTGGTCTGCCTGCCTCTGTCAGGATGAGGCCCTGCAGGCTACAGCCTGACACCCAGCCCCTCCCTGGTTGTCTTTGGCACAGGCAAGGGATTAGGGTCACCTGGCCGTGCAGTGTCCATGAAGGGGCTGCAGGTACTTCAGGAAACATCTGCTTGGATTGTCAGAGGGCCAGGACCCTCCAGTGGCGGGTCAGAGAAGAACGGGCAGCCTCTCCCTACCTGAGCCTTCAGCAGAATGACCCCTCACCCTTCCTCTGGGGTCAAGGTCGTCTCTGTGAGCAAGGCTCCACTCATAGCCACCACCACAGTCCACCTCCTGGGGAAACTGCTGCCCAGCCCTCCCAGAGCAGGCCTGTCCCTGTGCCCATGCTTGGCCTCATCTCCTTGGGTCCACACCCTGTGCTGGGCCTTCTGGACTCCCAGGTGTGGGCTCTTCCTTGGGGCACTGGCCTTTGTCCAGTGGATGCTCCTGTGAGCAGCTCCTCACACTCAGGGTCTGTGGGCACTTCCTGGTTCCATAGCGTTGGGCTGTGAGTCAGGAGGGGCGAGGGAGGGTGCAGGAGACGGCCGATGGAGGGCATCAAGCCTCGTTTGTTCTGTCTTCCAGGGGGAGTGGGGAAGGCCTCCCAGCAAGGCTATGGGCCGGAGCTGGTCCTCCTGGGCAGCCCTGCTTGTGGGTAGCCCTCTGCCAGGACCCCAGCTCCCAGCGATGGCAGCCCAGGAGGCCCTGCGGACGTCGGTCTGGCCTCTTCCCTGTCTGAGGAGTGGACTCGTGGTCTAGGGACTTATGTCAGCACTGGAGTGTCTCTAGCTCTAAGGGGGACCCTTGGGGCTGCTGCCCCTGAGTGGAGAATGTCCCTCCTGGACTGGAGGCTGTGGCCAGCTGAGGGCACTGGAGGGGAGAGGGCCAACAGTGTGGTCAGGGAGAAGGGGCTTTGTCCCACCAGCACTAGGTCATTCAGTCAGCAAAGCTGTTTCCGTGGCTGGATCTTTTTTTTTGGTACCAGGGATTGGACTCAGGGGTACTTGACCACTGAGCCACACCCCCAGCCTATTTTGTATTTTATTAGGGACAGGGTCTCACTGAGTTGTTTACCACCTCGCTAAATTGCCAAGGCTGGCTTTGAACTCGTGATCCTCCTGCCTCCGCCTCCCAAGCCCCTGGGATCACAGACGTGTGCCCCTGTGCCTGGCTGGAGGGAGGCAGCTTTGGGAGGAGGTGGAGCAGGGGGTGAACGTGGTACGTGTGATAGGGAGGGTCGGCGCCTTGCTGGCTGAGAGGTTAGAAAGGGCACAGGGAATGGGTCCCCAGTGGCCAGTGTGCTGGACAGGAGGGCTCCTGCCCCTGCTTCCCCTTCACTCAGGACGGTGGCAGCTGTTGCTGCCTGTCGGCACCATCTCCTCCAGAGCCTGTGGTGGCCCTGGGCTCCTGATGCTTCAGGAGACACTGCTAGTTGGAGATAGGACACCCGTTTGCCAGCCTTTTGGCGGGCAGTGAGAGCTGTCTGGATTCCTGGGGGCTGTGCAGCTAACACCGGGCAGCTCCTCTGTTGCTCCACGTTTGGGAGTAATGCTGACATTTTCAACAGATTAAAAACATATTTGGAAATACACATTTTGGGGGCGGAAAATAAGAATTATATTGCTTTCACGTGACTCCAAAATGTATTCCAGTCTTGGGAGTGGGCCAAAAAATGGACATAGGAAATTTTTTATTACTAATTACACAAACCAAATAACAGAATTTGAGATACTGGATAATAAAGATCTGATGTATCCCAAATGTTCGAAGGTACATGTTGGAGCACATCGCGGCTGACCACTGGTCTGGAGGCCGCGTCACGGCACATGGTGCTTTCTTATGTAACACTGAGGCACCAGGGCCATGCCCTTGGTGTGTGCCTCATGCCGAGAGCGGCCCGCTCCTGCCTGCCCAGATGCCCTGCCGAAGCTGGGTGCCCCTGCTGCTTTCCAGGTCGGGGAGGGTGCCAAGGCTGCTCCTGTGCCCTGTGTTAGCCATGAGGAAACCAAGCCCAGAGCACCTGGGGGGAGGGGCAGTCATGTGTTCCAGGGCCTGCGATCTTGACCTTCCTGCCAGCCTGCATCTCATAAGAAATAAAGTACAAATGGGACCCATGATCAGCAGTAATCCCCAAGCCAGCAAGAGGGGAAACGGAGCCGGTCTGACCCTGCTGGGGGATTTGGAGCTCACTGCTCTGTCCAGCGGTTCTCTGGGCTCTTCAGGACCAGCCTAAACTTCTGCCTGGAGAAAGGCTGTTAAGGAGCCAAGGTACGGCCAAGGCCCCCAAGAGAACCCTGTTTTACGCTCTTGGAATCCTGCAGGATTCCAAGTGCTGATGTTTTCCATGAGAAACAGGCCACACAGGCCTGAGGCTGGAACCTGACACCAGGGCGGGGCCGTGGTCAGCAGCTCCCACACAGGGTGTTAAGCAGGCAGGACCCGTGGGAACCCGGGCGCCCAGGACAGGTGAAGGGCTCAGATGATTGAAGTGGGTCATTGTCCAGTCAGACTGTTTCTGTGAAGGTAGTAATTATTCTTTGTTCTTTAAAAAGAAAACCATTTCAGTTGTCATTCCACTGGTGGGTAAACCAGTTTGTGTCGTAAACACTAGCATTTTTAGCAGAGGTTTGGTTCTTCTCAGTTGCCTCAACCCTGTGTTAGTTACACAGATATTTTTTTGCATATTTAGGGACAATACAGGCTGGCGGGAGCGTAGTGAGCTCTTACTGTCCACAGGGTGGGTGCTGAGGAGGGAAGGCTGGGAGGCCCTGCATGTGGTCCCCTAACCTCCCTCTGAACACTCGACTCTGATGGGATGCTGTGGACAATTCCCAAGGCGTCGGGCTGCAGTACCATAAGCTAGTGGGATGTTTTTGACGGACAAGAGTCCCACTGGGCACTCAGCTGTCTCTGCTCACTGTGACCGTGTTACGCAGGCTGGCTTGGTCGGTCTGTTAAACTTGACCTTGAACAGGGCTGTGCCTGGGAGAGAGTGAAAGCACAGGGGGAGTTTTAAAGGAGGCGTTCTGTCATGTTCCAGGAGAGAGGTGGAATGTAAGTGCCTAGCCACTGCCAGGGTGGAACTCTGGAAGTGTGACATACTGCTGGAAGCCACCAGATTTGTCTTGGGAAAGGCTCAAGTGCCTTGTCCTTGCATATCCTTCTGCCTGCAAAATGGGGCTGAGCAACGGATGTCTCGCCGTGTTCCTCGCAGAGTTGCCTTGGCACAGAGGACCAAACTCTCGTTTCACAGGGTCCGGTTCCTAGTGGGTAGAGTGCAGACTTGTCCACCCCCTTAGTGCAGTCCACCCACTTAGTGGGCAGCGGGTGGGAGCTGCCGGAATGTGGGGCTTGCCCTTGAGACGTCTGATGGGGTAGTTCAGGGGCACCAGATCCTCATGCCTAGCCAGCCCCAGATAACTGCTGGCACAGGTGGTCAGTGTACTTGCTCTGGGAAACCAGGCCCCAGGCTGTCTAGAAGGCTGAGTCCAGGAGGACTGCAGGGTCCTGGTCTTCCTCTGTCCTTCTCCTTGTTCTTAGTGTCCAGGTGTTTTGGTTTTTAACTTGAGTGTTTGATTTTCTGGGAAAACAAGGACTTTTCTGCATGCTCCAAGGTACCTGGAAGCATCTTGGCAGAAGTGGGCACTGCAGTGAACCCTGTGAGCTCTGGTGTTGCGAGGCCCTGCCACTGCTGGGTGGAGTCCTCTGCACACTGAGGCTGTCGGGCAGTGAAGCTCCCTCTTGGCCAGTCTACGTGCGGTCCTTGTTTTCGTGGGAATTTCCTTAATTGCTAGCCAGATTAGTAAAACCAAGATTATCCTCTGAATAACTGTTGGAATAGAGCGTCTGCTCTTTACCTACACACAAACCAACTTGAAAAAACATTAGAAATTAAGCTCTTCATGAAACTAGTAATACAAATTTATAATACCCAATGATCAATTATTGGCATGTATATAATATAAAAATTTTTTGAAGACTTGCAAATCTTAGGAATGAATTTAGCAAGAAATGAGTCAAATCTAAATAGATAAAACTTTCCCAAAGGGCATAAAAGAAGACTTCAGTGGAAATGGGTACCTCTTCCTTGGATAGGGCACTGGAGTATTGTAAAAATGTCCATCTGCTCTAAATTGATGTGTGAATCTGCTAAGGTATCCATCAAATAACAAAAATGACTCTTGTAAAAGAGGTTTTGTAGAACGATCCTAAAATTCATGTAGAAAACTAAACATAGTGTTGAGGGGGAACTTATCCCTTCAGATTCAGTAGTAAATTATTGACAGCGCTGCCCAGACTGGACCAAAGGATCGGCAAACAGCCCGGAGGACCAAGAGGTGGGGAGAAATAGACAGGGAAATTAGTTTATGATAAAGATGATACTTAAATCAGTGTAAAAAAAGGAGTAATCAGTAATATTGGGATGATTAGCTAGTCACAGGCGAAAAATCAGGCAAGATAAATTCAAAATGGAATAAAGATTCAGATGTCAAATAACAAAACCATAAAAGTCGGAGAAGACAGATGAACTGCAGAGTTGAGCTTGGACGTGGGTGACCCTGCACCATGACCTCTATCAGACCCAGGACCACAGAAGCCACTGAGGAAAGTGGTGACATTGACAAGGTGGAGGCTTCCCTGTGGCAAAAAATACCCAAACAAGGTCCCGAGACAAAGGACAGGCTGGAAGGGTGTGGAAAGGCTGGCTGTGCAAGGGGCACCTTCCCGGATCAGGAAAGGATCCCAAGGGCCTCCAGAGTGGGCGGCTCACTCCAGGGGTCGCCGGGCTCCCCTGCTCCCCACCACCCTGGGGTCGCTCCGAATGGACTTCAGAGTTTTTTAATCAAGAAAAGATTTGA